GGTGGACTTTTTGAACCATTTTGATATTTTTTTAAAGAAAAACATTTACCATCAACAACTCGTTGAACAAAAGATAATTGACTCCACATGTCATTGGCTGCATCAACCCTATCAAAAACACAACCTTTACGTATGAAAAGTCATCGACGTGCATATTCAACACTTCGCCATTTCATGCCCATATATATACCATAAAGATAATTAGATTCATTAGATATGATTGTATCATTTTCATTTGAGTAGGCTGATACATTAGTTGATGCTATGCCAACTAATGCACCGTATGGTGCTAATGTTAAATTACCATATGTTTGTTCATTTCCTATTCAAGTTTTTAAAAATAAAATAAAACAAATTTAAGATTACTTTCGATTAATTTTAGATTTTAAATAAAATGAAAATATAATTTCTGGTAGTTTAATAGAGATACTTTAGTAATTTTATTGAAATTAATGATTTTCAACGCTCATATTCGTGACGAAAATTAGGAAAAGGAGATTGGCGTTAATAATCAGAGTGTGTCGTGGTATAAACGAACTCAAATATTTTTTTTTATAAAAGCACTAATATTCCAATTTATTATTATAGATTCCATAAGTCATCATCTATATCGAGTTCGAATATATCTAGTGAACCTATCAATTAAAAAACTTTAGATTTGATCTTATTTTTAAGATTATATCTATTTTTATCCGACAGTTTCAAACACAGTTAACTTCCAATAGTTATTCTTTCAAGACGTAATTTTTTGTTATAATATCAAGTTTTTGTTTTTATATATGAACACTGTTTTGATAATAATTAACTGTTCTATGCAAAACTTGCATAGTTTATTGCATTTCTTAGATATTTTTAACACATAACTAAAGAAAAACACTTAAGACCTCCTCAAAAAAAAAACACTTTTCGTTAGAATGATCGAAATTAAGGTAAATATAGGAGAAGACAGTCCGTGATCGGATCACTCACAAATCATAAAAAATTTTACTCGGCACTTTGTTTTATTCCAAAAATTTTGAAGATTTCTAACACACCCTATGCGAACAATAAGTGATTTTTGAAAAAAGCCAAAAAACTTTTTCTTTTTTTTTCTAGTTTTATCGGTTTTTACTTGTATCTCCACTAGAACTCAATCACAATAAGAGATAAAGTCAAATACGTTTTTTTCTTTGAAATCTTATTGTTTAGGGCTAGGGATGATGATCGTTTTTTTTTTTAAAGAAGCTTTTTTTTATCATATACGAGAACACTTCTACACAAACAGTACCATTTTTTAGAGGTTTTTTGAGTCATTAAACTTGCCATTCCTTCTCTTTCGTTTAAAAAGCAAGAATTTTAAAAAAAAGGACCATCGTCGTCCCTAGCCCTAAACATAAGCTCTCAAATGAAAAAAATTCTAATGCATAGAACGAAGGTCCACAGAGAATTGGTGAAGATACTGATGCGCTATTATTGACCTTTGTTTGGTGAATATCTCTGTCAAATGTCAATGATATATGGTTGAAAATTTTATCATACCCATAGTTCATCAGTCCTTGCATATCCTGAAAGCTTCATGCAATTTGGATGTTTCTTGATTGAGAACGATTTTTGAGGAAGAGGAGAGGACTTAATTTTTGTCAAAGAAAAAACTTGTGCGAGTTTAATTTCGTATTAAAATATTTCAATAATGTTATACCATCACATTTTGAATGTGGATACAAAATGATAAAAAGAACAATTAGAAGCACGATTTTCATAGTTAAATTCAATAGAATTGATCTTAAATGTAAACAATTAAATATGAAAAATGCAATGTCATCTAAAACTTGCAAAGTAAAAGTAATAACATTTCGAACTTATTGTATAATGCAAAAAAACAGTACGAAAAAAAGCCAGTGAAAAAGCAGATATTACAAAGAGCAAGATCGATGTTTTGCACGCCTCGATTCATGCGAAATAAACATCAACACATACGTCAAAATGGTCTTCCATTTGTTAGTATTTTTTTTTAATATTGCTTATTTACCTGAAATACAATAACGAACGAAGAATAATTTAGGTAAAATGTATGCTGATAAAATCAAGTGTAAATAATTGAAGCTTACTATGCACTCATAAAAAAAACACAAATATTCAACTAAATTAGATTTTCTTTTCATTATAGAGCAATACACCAAGAAGATTAGGTAAATAAAAAACGTAAGAATAACTTTAACAGCGAAAAAAATGTACCTAAAGGCTTTTATTTTCATACTCGTTTTTCACATTTTATTTTATATTTCGAATCATATCATTTCATTTTTTTTTACATCAAAGACTAATAATTCGGGTTTCGAATACAAACTACTTAACGTTTTGTAATGTATTGTTGAGATTCTAACATGAATTGCTTGTCATAGAAGTTTTTCAATATAAGATTATTGATTGTTTAGTAAAAATGGGGGCGTTATCAAACATAATATGATCTTGTATCATATGTTGTTGTTTGATGAATACATTTTTCTTGCATACATCAATGTATGATTTACAAACTTCTTTGCAATGATAGATAGGAATTATTTGATCGATGATACTTTCATCATTTTGTCTCCAAGTCCAATAGAAAATATTCTAGGACACCTTTTTTTTTCTTAGTCTATATGTACATTTCACTCTGTTGAATGATTCAATTTTTCTTTGCTTTTCTAATTTCAACCTTTCCAAATCATTGTTAAATCAAATACCATCATAAATATTCAAACTTGGATGAGAAAGAAACAATTATTTCATTTTCAAATGACAAATAACTTAGTTCTACATTAATTAAGTCAAACATCCTAAAATGAATTTGGATTTTGATTATTTGTATTTAATTCTATTCGCAACCCATAGGACAAACTAACTCTACCGTAAGATGTCAGAAACTTTCCTAATAATACAGATAGCTAAAAGATAAGAGGCAATTATGTATTATTTTTACACTAGAAACCGTAGAAAGAAGTTGGAACAATAGTCAACTATATCATCAGTACTTTTCAATAGATATTGATCTTACCATTTGTCTTATTCTAAGTGAGATTAGAGACGATTTTTCTTAGTTAATTCAGCAAATAGTACTAACCCCTCGCCAATAATAGAAGCCCAATCAGTTCGAGATGTTTACAAATCAAGAAATCAACAACGTCAAAATTTTGTTGATCATGTTCACTGTTTCAAATAAAATGCTGGTGCGCTTGTCAATTTAATTTTTTCGTTCTTCGAATTTTTTTCTTGTTGGAATGATTCATTTCGTATGTTAATTGTAACACATCAAACACTTTGATATTAAACAAACTATTTTTTTCTTTTCTTTATTCTAAATCGTGACATATAGAGTGTCAGAAAAATAACACTGTTTTAAATTGTTTATTACTCTGAAACAATAAAAGATATCGCAACGAGTATTTTACTGTTTTGAACCATGTGTCATGGCAGTTTTCTATAGATGAAACAAGCTAATTGATCCTTTGATGGTGTATGATTAAATTCGAATTTCAACTAGAAAGTATTTAAAAATAACTCATTATTTTGAGAAGTTTACTATTGTTAAATGAGAACAAATACGATCACAATCTTGTCACTATTTTAAAGTGTACGGAATACAATAATATATATTGTCTCAAATTTTTACATAGGAATCTTCATTGCTCGTACAGTTTTGTAGTTGTTATGGTATCTGTTCTCGTATAACAATAATAAACTTCTCGAAATAATGATTTATTTTCAGATATTCTCTCGATGAAATTTGTGCTTGACCTTAGATCGTGAAATGGTCAATCGGCTTGGTTTATCTAAAGCACAAACTACCCTCACACATCCTTCACAACCAGGCATGCGCCAAACCCAAACCGTTTGGGTTTGGTGAGTTTGGTCCGAATGAGTCTGAGTTTGAGCTTGGGCATTGAGTATGGATTTGCTCATATGAATTTCGATCTGGGTTTAGGTTTGAGTGTTGAGTTTGGATTTCCTACATGAAATCGCCAAGTCAGTTGACTCAGCATATTATGCCTATTGTGTCAATTCTTTTCTGTATACTTAAAACGTTGCGATATTTTATATCAATAAATGCACAATTCTATTTCTGCTCTTCGGTGCCAGACATTAAAATGAAATTATTCTCAATCGTAACAGGGTGAACTTCCAGAATGACAATCCCTGGTCGATCTGTCGACGCTGTCATCCCTGGACAACTGAAATCACTTTTCTAAGTCACACAAGTGGTTTTTCGAGGTTCTCTCAATGACGACAATAGTTTTTTTAGGTTGAAGAACTCGAACTTGAGCTCTATTTTCCTCGAAATCCTATTGGCAAGATAGTAACTAATAGAAAGCGAGTTTTTGGAAAAACAAGTCTCATGGCTAGTGTATTTATGGAAGGGTGTACCCTGGAAAGCAAACCGTATGGTATCCTTATGAAACAGAGAGTATGCACTATTTTTACGCTGAAGCAAAAGATGGCGTGTACAATATTTGCACGGAGTGCGTGTCACACTTTAGTTTTTCTGTATAAGATTTTAGCACATTTATGTCTTAAAGAAGTTTAACTATTCAACATGATCACAATTATAAACACCTTGAGCATTAGCTCATCGGACGGGCGTAAGTGTAGGTGTGGTATGTGCGTCTTCTTTTTATCTACAACCATACCCACACCCACACTCATTATGTGGTGACGTATTTCGGAAGGAATCGATGAATTGTTTCGTCTAACTTAAGCAATAGACTAATTAAACAAAGCATTTTTTTTTGTATAGAACAAAGTTATTCTAGTTGGTTTTTAATCATTTTCTTTTCTTACTTCTAATAACACTCACATCCACACTTCTGCTTTTCAGCAATCGACTTAGTTGAAGTAGTGAAAATTTGAAATAATAGAAGAAAAAGAAAAAAAACCAATCAATACAAATTGAATAAATAAAATGAGCGCAAAAATAAGAAGAAAATCGATGAATAAATAATACAAATCAAGGAAAAAGTTATTTACAAACGCCAAATCATTTAATTTGAAGGTATAATAAATGAAATATCTGAATTGGTTATGAAAATATTCTGGAGATATCAAAGTTATTATAAATGACTTCGACGAAATAAATTTGTTATTGGTATTTATCATCATCACATTCTGTACTAACTTGTTTCATTAATTATGATGCTGATAAACGCAAATATTGTTCGTTGCGTTATAAGATCACCAATTGTCAGATCTGAATAATTACATTTTATATAACGTCAATTTTATTCTGTGAAACTTTCTTCAATTTGAGCCATCCTATATTTATATATAATGAAATGAATCTATTTCTCATATTGTAATTAAAGAACTTAAGCTTTGAAAATTGCGATTCTAGTATAGATAAAGTAAATTCTATAAATGACAATTTCAGACAGACTTTAGCATCTGATCTTGAACCATTGTGTAAGATTCATATTGTCTCATTTTGTATGTTTCATACGCCATAGATATAATTGAACAGTTTCACTTATTATTTCTTTCATTTTTAATCGTTCAGACGGTGGAAACATACTATCATATACGATAGTTTCGTATTTCTTGGTCATTCTCAAACAAAAAAATAAAAATAAAATCGAAGAAAGTCAATTACAGAAATGGTGAATCGTGGTTAATAAGAAAGAAAAACAAAAAAAGATAATAATCGGAGAATACGGATAATATATGAAATAGAATGAATAAACAATACTTCCCATAATATTCATTAGCAAAAATACACTACTCTCTAGTCGTTTTCTTTTTGACATATTTTTTTTGTTGTTGAATAAGACGAAAAATAATAAAGTTTGTTGAATTGAGTTTGTTTGATAAAACATCTTTATGAGATTGATGCCATGAATTCTCGAATAGCATCGATAGCTTGTGCACATGCTTTTGGATAGACTCCTGTATCAATAAAAGTGTTGTTGGTGAAAGAAGTTTGTTTCTAAACAACTTCTTACCGGGTAGAGGAAAAAACCTATGAAGAACACCTTTGATAAGTACAAGCTTGTTCTTTACACCAGCTTTATCAAGAAGTTCCTTATATGCTAAAAAAATGAATCCAATTTGTATAAGCGGACATTTTTCTTTGAATAAAAAGCAGCATGTGCATACTATAACTATCATCTCGAAATGGGTCTAGTTCAGCGACAATCAATAAAGTTTGTGGTAACTTTTCGAGTGATGTATTGCGAAAGACGGATATTCGAGAATCGTTTATATCAAATCCATCATTAAATGCATTCTTGATGCACCTGCAAAAAAAAGATAAATCAGTCGTGTTTAAATGTCAACTCGAACGTAGACTCTTCATACCAATCAATCATTTCAGGTGCGATAAAATATTGTTGATTTGTAAATTCCTTGAAAGATGGTGTTGCACAAGTGAAATCATACCAACCATAAACAAGAATCTATTAATTATTATCGAAAAAATCATGATCTCTTTTCGAACATACAACTAAAATTTATACTTGAAAATCAATGTCTTTCACTGTCTGACAAACAGATGCGCTAATCATAGCTCCAGCACTATCACCCGCCACACCAACCTTAGCTGTTCGATCAACACCTAAATAAATAACCAATAAGAGTTAGTTCGAACAAAGATTTTGATAAATAAAGAAAAAAACACCAAAGGATTCTTTATTTTCCATGATATATTGAGTCACATCACATGCATCATTGTACCAAATCGGATATTTATATTCGGGACCCAGACGATATTCGACAGAAATCCAAATACTCTTTGTGGCACTAAATCATCAACATAGTGTCTATTGAATAGACAAGAAAAGAGATGAAACAAAAATAATTTTCATACTCTGCAAGAAGATTAACAATAGTTTGATGCGTTCTTCGACTTCCATATATCCAAGCTAAATTCAAATAAAACTATCAATCAAAGTTAATCGTCAATCATGATCTAACCTCCACCATGAAAGTAAACTACTAATTTATCTTTGTTGGCATTCGCTGGAGTATGAACATTGATTGGTATATCTAGATATTTTTTTTTTCGATAAAAGTAAAACACATATTTTATTATGTCGAAATTTACCGGCAGAGTTTGTCATTACATGTTTCTCTTGCAGGTTACCATTGAATGTTCCAATAAGTTTTTCATTAGCTTTAGCACACAGATCTTCGAAAAATGTTCGCAACGACTCAGGTGTTACAGCATTCGATGATGATTGAAGTGATGTAATTAATTGAGCGAAGACCTTTGCTTCGTCGGTGAATCTTGGATCCCTAGAATAACAGAGAGAAATACGAACAAATAGTTTGATAATTTGAAAAAAAATGCATTTACATAGAAAAACTGTCCAGTGCGACCTTCTTTTCAAATGAAAGCCAACTTGTTACGATCTATAACGATATAAATAGTAGATAAGGAACGAAAATGTATACTGTTATGCTTTCCTTTCGTTAGAATAAATTTAAGAGCACAAGTAAGGTCATTTCTAGGAGAAACATAACTTCTATTTAAAGAAAAAAAGATGATCTGACTAGTCGAGTGTATATCACATATATATATATGTATCATCAGGTATAACAAGGAAAAAAGAGAAACAATAGAAAGGAGAAAAACTAAATGACAATATAGATGTCGGAAAGAGAGAAAACCAAAAAAAAGAGAGAAAAAAACGAACGAACAATATATAATGAAAAAATACCTGACAATACCACATACAGAATAACAAAAAAAAACAAAGAGCAACAAAAACAAAAATAATGTTCATATTAAACTTGAGAGAGACGACGAAATGCATAATAGTTGTGTCAACTAAATATGTTGATTGGTAATTTTGGTTCATTTTGATCTTTAATTTTATTATATTTAACACCAATAATTAATAATTCTTGTTTGATTTTTGTATGTATATATGAGATATCATACTGACGAAGAATTTTTCGGATTGACTTTATTGTAAATCTTGAATAAACTGGACGGGTCATAACATATCGAAATCTTCGTCGTCGAAATACATCATTCCTTTTACGATTTCTTCTTCTTCTTGCTTCAACTGATCTATTTTGATGACATGATTTATACTTCACCCAGTCAGATTGATCATTATTTTTGTCATCATCAACCATAGAATGGTTGTTGACACGTAAATCATTATCACGTGGTGGTAATGCTTTACTTAATTCATTATCACCATTTGAAATTTCTTCATATAACATATCATTATTAAGAGTAATTTTAATGCATTGATTAACTGTTATTTCATCATCATAATTATTACCATCATCTGATATTAATTCAATATCATCATCAATATTCTTAATTATTCGTTGATTAATATTTGTATTTGTTGGGTTGTTATTTACTCCCCAGGGAGAAATGAAACGGTGAAGATGCCGTTTAAACGGCTATATCTGCCCATTATACCGAAATAGCTGTGAAAAACGCCGAAAAATGTTATTTTTACTATTTTTTACAGTTTTAACGCTTCACTCACATTTCAAAGCGTGATCTATATTTTTTAACCGTTTAAACGTTTATATAAGTGAACATCTTCTGTGTGAGGAGTAGCGATAAACATTTAAAATCATGAGTTTTTCAGTAAAAACCACTATAAATATTCAAAGTAAAATATTTCTTTTTCTTCGATGAGACTATAGGTATCTTCATTATTTACGTTCTGCTGAATTTGTGCTTTTTATTATTTCATAGTACATGCAAAAATAAAATCTGCTGGGGCTGATGTTCCTCATTGTTGTTCGATGCTTATTTTAAAAAAGATTAATTAGTTGTATTTGTGTTTATATAACAAAAAAAAATCTTCTTTTGATTAAAGTAAATGTCTACATATCTTCTTAAGAATAAAAGAAAACAAAGAGAAAATGAGTCAGAGAAGAAAAGAGAACTTCAGGCAGAGAAGAAAAAGACGAAAAGAGAAAATCAGTCAGGAAAGAAGAGGAAGAAAAAAAATAAAATAAGACGATAACACAAGAATAAATACAGGCAGCACATTCAATCATTCATTCATTTGATGAAGGTTATTGGAATAGTTCACATCTCTCTAAAGTGCGTCATGATTGAACATAAAGATAATACGCGTTGATTATTTGTGAATTTAATCTGAAATACTATTCAGTCTACAAAAGAATTTCATGTATTTATTGGATACGATCTATGAATAACTATTATTGTCAACACTAGACTAATCTTAAAAAACAAAATCAAAAACATCGATGAGACTGCTGTAGAAAAATTATTAATATTGAATGCTTCAGAAAATTCGATTGTACTTTAAAGTTTGCGTTTATCTTCGTCCTTTTATCAAAAAATAATTATAGAAAATCTTTTGTATATGCCATCGGGATAGTTAAAAAAAGATGATTCGAAAAAAGAGAATTCATATATAATCGCGAATTTGTTCAATTATTAAGTTTATCACCAGGTAGAACTATTAGATTAAAAAGAAATCATAGTTTTTTTAATTTTGTACCGCTAAAAATATAATTTTGAGGTCACATTGTAGTTTTAATTTTAACCTACTATCTGTCTGACTTTTGATGCTTCGATTACAAGTGATTGACAACAGAAATTCGTTCAGATTGTTACTTATATTTTAGCATTCGAAGACAAGTATTTCACCGATTAGGAGACATAAAGGAACATGTAGGATGATTCGTATTAATGTATTCTAATTATGAGTGTTAGACTAATAAAATAAAAAACTCAACTGTCTAAGCAGCGATTGTAGTAATATTTTTATTTTATTCATTTGATTTGATGCATTTATTCTATTTATTGGTTTTGAATTTATTAAAATTATTTATCTATTTAATTTGATGCATTTATTGAATTTATTGGTTTTGAATTAAAATTATTAACTTAGATGCATTTATTCGTTATGAATTAAAATTATTTATTTAATATGATTTGATGCATTTATTCTATTTATTGGTTATGAATTTACTAAAATTATTTATCCATTTAATTTGATGCATTTATTCGGTATGAATTAAAATTATCTATTGAATATGATTTGATGCATTTATTGAATTTCATCGTTATGAATTAAAATTATTTATCTAAATACAAGAGAATTCGTACATTTTGAAACATAACATATGAACAGAGGTATTTTGCAGAAGTTGTCGAACTTCTACCGAAATACAAAATTGGAAAGTTGGTCAAAATATTGTTGTTTTCATGTGTTATGTGTTAAACATGCATGTTGCTTTTTACTAGATAAATATTTCGATTTGTTCGAAGTTAAATATTTGTTCTTAAAAAAAATTAAAACTACTCATTGATTCGGTAAAATATCAGTAAAAATTGTCCTAGATTGTTTATTATCGGTTAAATGAAAATAAATATACAGGCAGCTGACAGCTGAAACAATTAGCATTTTATTCAAACGTCCGTTTATCAATATCCAATTGTAAAAATTATGAGTTTAAGCGTCATTGAATCAATGTTTATTACGGTTATTATGTGCCGTTTAAACGACAAAAAAGTATTTTTTATTGATCACACTGAAAATCGTTTTTTGTGATAAACGAGTATTTTGGACAATACATCACCGTTTAAACGCTGTGACGTTAAATATGGTTTAAACGGCGAAAGAGCGTCCCTTCAACTAACTGGGTCGTGATGATAATGGTAATGCCTGAAATGAATCAAGAATATTAATTTTAGTTACCTGTTGAAATGTCCAATATAATGTAATAGGTCGAATTAAACATGTTGCTGCAAAACAATCATATATTGCGTAATGTACCATTTTATTTCTTTTTAATGCTGATAAGGTTGAGTACATTGGATCTAATTCCGTTGTCCATTCATTAACAGTAATTGACTTGTCAATAAACATTCCAATTGTATAAATTAAAGCTTGTTGTAATGTCCATGGTTCATTAGGACGATAAGGACTTGGTTTGTGACAAGTACTTTTTGATAATAAATTCATCTGTCCATCAAAATTAATATCTTTGATAATAACACAAGTAATGCAGTGCAAACGCTGCTAACCCTCTATTGAAAGAATGCGTTGTACTGAAGATAGGATATTAGAAGTACTAGATATGGGAAATAATTCGTTGGCAGCACACTAAGGAGTGGAACGAAACGAACCATTATTATTCAAGAGTTGAAAATGTAGATTCCCATATTCGGTAATCCCTATGGAAATTGCATATTCTGAGCATGTTAAAAATATGCTTTATATCCACATGATATCATCAACATTCTCCGTACTCGCTTTGCCCAGCTAAATATTCTTATAGCATTATCTATAGTCTGATCAAAGTGTTAGTATCGCGTTCCCGAGTTTCAAAATGTCTGAAATTTGAAACCAAGCGATGGAAAGTGATAAAAAGTCCTGTATTAATGCCTGAAAATGGCAATATGCTGATAACAAGATGAGTATCAAGATTCCTGGCTCCATCAAAGCCATTTTTGTTACTTTTATTTCATAAAAAAAGCTTGTTAGCGCAGCTCCTTTAAGGCTGAAATATAGAACTCATATATACTATCTAGCCTAATTAAACTAATACATAACACATTAAGTAATAAATCTCTCGTAGATTACAGATGCTTGCAGGATAATTGATATTCAGAGTAATGATTTCTCTAATTTCTGCATTTCGAAAAGAATTTTCATTTTTTAAAATTCTTTTTTCTTAATTTAACATTCTTATTATTACAATCATTGAATTAATTGACAAATATGTCTGTTTTACGTATTCATGATATCTACAGAAGGTCTCAAGCACTATTATTTATATTAATCAACTCACAAGTAGTAATATTTATTATTTTTCAAAATTATAACTTGATCAATTTTGCAACAAAATCTAAAAAATGTGACGCCTGTTATTCTTCATTGCTACGGTCTGTAATGGAGAGGGGTTTAGCAGGAGTGGGAGCCACGAAAACGCGCTCTTAAACTTACACTCACCATTTTCTTCGAAAGATATGTGAATTCCACAAAACTGACTCAGCAGTCAATATCTTCACTACAGTAGTGTAGTTTTTCTATCTCGAGTCATTTAAAGTAAACAAATATATCATTCACTTTTTATTTTTTATCTCTCTTATGTTCTTTCTTGAACGAAGCAGCATCGATATGGCTCTTCTCTTAACTCTTACTCACACTCACATTCCATCCAATAAATCTAGATCAGCAACAAAAACCTGTTAGCGTCAATGATGATACACTGCGATGCTAAACCAAGATCAAGACACGCTTTCTGATTTAATTGGCTTACGACATTTGCCCGGATAGCAGGAGGTGTGGGCTTGAGTCCCACGAAGGTCGTCTTTTTCCTCATTCTCTTCGTTCACTGCATTTTCAATCGTATGAATCATATATGATGCTTACAAAACCGTGTCGCTATTCGACTACGCACAGCAGAGTAATGATATGAGCGATTCCGTTCTACTACGAACTGGATAACGTATGAAGGTAAAAACTTTATGAGTCGAAATTTTCCGCTTTCGTAATTCCACACCCTGGCTATATATGATCCGATTCGATTGAAACTGACTGTGCTGTTGTAGAGCTAAAACAATTTTATTGTGAGTATCAATGTACGTTAAAGTCCATAAATCACACTGTGTTAGTTATGATTCGCTGAAGGGTACGCAAATGAACTCCACAAATGCTCGAAAACTTTGGTCAATAGCTATCGATGCCTGTCTAAAATCCTCAGGGATACATCTCTCATTATAGACAAATGAAGGTATACAGACTATGAAGATATTGTAATAGATATGGATATCTGAATACGCAGCATATTGGCTTTATATTTCTGATAAATTACTAGCATTGATTCGAGTATTGTTACTCTGAAATAGAATAATAAAAACAAAAATTCTCGTTACAAGTATATCATGGAACGCAAGATTGAAACTTAAACAGAGTATATTTCAATTTGAACGCAATTTTTCGTCCTTTTAAATATTTAAAAACCATGTTAAAATAAAGTTTGGCTTCTATAGAAGAATCAACTGATATTCGTCTATCTATTCAAAAACTATGAGGAGTTTTTGACAACTTTGTAGATTCGGAAGAGTGGTTGAAAAAGAGATATCAAGTCTCGTTCTCATCGGGTGTGGCTGTGGCTATGAGGATCTGGTTGCTGGCGTATGTTGAGTCAAGACTAGCATCCACACCCACGGTTGTGCTTTTGGATGTCTGAGTGTGACTGTGGGATCAGTGCCGAGTTGCGATTACGAGTGTTTCCTTCACTGTCATCAACATTGAAGCCGTCACTCCTACGCCTACATACCTCCAGATGCTCCTGATACACAGATTCTTGATTTCCTCTTTTCTGATTGATTCCTTACCTGTTGTTGCGCTTTAGACTTGAGTGCATATAGCCGTTGAATTGAAATGTTATAGAAGTGAAAAAGTGCCGAAAATGCAGCAGAAGTCGTCTCCTTATATAGATTACTTTATCATTGAAGAGGCGAGCTTGAAGAAAGCAACGATAAAATTTATTACTGACGAAAGAGATATGGCAATAAAATATTATTATCTTATCTTTAGAGTTAGGCATTTTTTGCAGATGTTTTTGCAGTTAAAGGAAAGGTATGTTTAACCAGCAAAGCTTAAAACACGCTGAGAAAAAACCAAAAACAGTAGATCCTCTGGAAATTCGACGATTGGCTTCAAGAGTTACCTGGTTTTTTTTCTGGGTATCGGTGCGAGTGTATAGCGTGTGGCAAATGTGAATTTGGTTGTGACTGCGGGGTGTAGAGTGGTTGTGAATATAGAATGTGAGTGTGGATGTAGGAGTATGAGTAGATCAGTTGTTTAGGCACATCTACATCCACTAATATTCATACCCACACCCACGCTCACACCCACATCCTTTTGTAGTATAGATAATTTACCAGTATTGTACTTTTTTCTAAATCCCTTTTATTAGATTAATTCATTACAATTACAAACCTGGTAATTGTTGAAAGCTTCATTTCGCTTACGAGTTTCAGCCTTACACATGTTCACATGGTTAGTGCTCACAATTTTACGCATTATTGTCTTTTTGGTGAAATGCACAATTTTCAGTTCTGACTAGGGACTGAGACTAGTCTACCAGTTTAAAACTGGAATTGGTGCAGTCCTAAATGAAACCCTTTTTATGTGTAAATTTTGATGATATTTAATTAGTCTACTACTCAAAGAGTCAATCACTATCTGAGTTTTGTGATCATCTGAGTGTGGGTGTAGTACGAACGAACTAGAAATCCAGAGCTTACATGAACTCGTACCGCACTTCCATTCATACCTATAATTACATTCGATTGACACCCGCGTCTGCACTTCTTATGATCTCTGTTAGCAACCATCTAAGTCGACTGTCATCTGGCGTTGCTAACAACTGAGTTAGTTACCAACTCACATCTTCACTGATTCAGTTGGTTACCAAGCTCGTTAGTTACTAACTTCCTGATAATTAATTACTTTGGCAATACATTAGTTAATTTATAATAACACATGACACAGAATGAAATATATTTGATCCAATAGTTTTCGATTATGATTTCATTCGAAGAAATCGGCATTAGCAAATGTTGTCATCAGTGAAAAATTCTTTCGGCGAAGTTGAACCCAGAGAAAATACAACGCACTTTAAAATAGACGCTTCTTAAATTTTCCAAGCTTCAAGACCCGAACTCTTGAAAGTCTTCTATTCGAACATCGTCTCATAAATACACTCCCATTATTATGCCGGATCAATTAACAAAACAGTTATACAGTTATATTTCACAATAAAATATAATGTCTATACTTTATATTGACGAAAGATATTAGAATTGCAGAACAAAGATTAACAACTTTTATCTGAGCCATACGTTGTTAGTACTAATTATTCTATGATATTATGCGAAATTATGGTACTCATTTGATGTTTGGCAATTCAAAAACGTTCTAAAATGATAATATTGCAAAAAGTATTCTTAATTATTCAATGCATATCAGCATACATCTAATATGTCATCGACATTATTTTGTCTAATTAGAGTTGCAATTCAAATGAGTTCTTCAAGATTAACACAGACGTCGAAGCTATGCAGTAAGCTTATTACATATAGCTATACTGATTTGTGCGTTGATGTCATTCTTCATTCTTTAAAGCTCAAAAAACAGCTATAAATCCGATGAAGGAACAAAAACGTCGTGCTTTTGAGAGACAACTTAAAAGTTCGTAGAAGGACTAAGGTATGGGTGTTGGTATGTTGGATTGGTGTTCGTTTCATCGTCACCTGTCTGATACCCACAACATACACTCTCCAACACTCATACTCTGGTCTTATTGAAGTTCATCTGCATAATTGTGTTCTAAAATAAGCGTTTTTTCTAGGTATTGAAATTTTAAAAAATCCTAAATTCTATGAAATCCTTACTCCAAATGTTTATTGAGACATATTAGAAGAAGTTTTATCGTCTGTTTGGTTCAATTCTTTGAATGACAGATAAGTAAAACATAATACGCTTGTTCAAATCTGATCTTCTACTCCATAATATATTTAATGTCAGACCCGTTCGGACTAGTCAAATATATTTCATTGGAGCGTGTCGTATGAACCGTATCCAACACGCTTCTTTTTGGCAGTTTCAAATCATTTTCTGATGAGAGTCATGACGTCTCAAAGTGTTTAGTCAGAGCCTCAAAAAGTCCTCATCCAGCACTAGTCTTCATTCTAGATGATAATTTAATATCTAACTGATGTTGAACCTGCCCTTGAAGAATCTCTCTCTAGAAAAAGACTGGCTGATATGTAAGCTGTCACCTGTCGATGATATAATAAAGATGAGATTCCAGGACATAGCAAGTTTCAGATTAGTCCAGGAGGAGGGCTTTTTCATACTCTGACTAGACACGTCAGTCCAACATGACTAGCAATAATATTCGATATTTAGTCCATCGCTAGCTTATTTCGGTGATAAAGAATCTTCTA